CTAAGGATATATACTAACTGTATTAGTGTAACTCCACATATGACTTTAGTTCATAGTATTGTAAAGTAGCTGTATCACACAAAAAACAAAGTAGAAAAAATAGTTTAGTGTATTAAAGCATTTAGTGCATTGTCTGAAATAGCTACTTGTGTATCCTTGAAGTACAAGAGAAAAATCCAAAATTCCTCTGAAACAAAACACAACCAAAAGAAAGACACCATCAGAAACAGGAAAGTCAAGCTGATTTACATATTTCTAATGCTTTGGCTGCCAGAAGGCTCATTAACAGGAGAGAACAGACATTATTTAATAGATTACTGAGGTAGTATACATTTCTGCACTATCACTGATTATTGTGTAAAATAAATCATCGAATAAAATATACTGATAATAAATCTAATAGCTTCAAAAATAAATATCAGATAAACATTTTAAAATTTATGGCAAATGCAAGATTCAAACTTTGCTAGTTTTCACCAGATACAGAAAAGATTGTGAAAACAAGAAGAACTGCAGTTTAAAAGTGGTGTTAATCACAAGGACATAAGCAGATTCCAAATTTGCCAATATTGCTTTAAAATTAAGGTACAAGACTTTTGTCTTTGATTTAAAGCCTTCAGCTGCTGCAAAGTCTATTATAAACTTTCTGTCATAAAAATCCAACCCAGGAGACCCCTGCCTACCCTTTTCAGGACCTTTATATTAAAACACAGGTGAGAAACTGTCTCAAGAAGAGACCTGAGGGGCTTCACGCCTTGAAAATGGATCTGGCTGTCTTGTTTACAAAACACTGGATTAATAAACTATTTTCAGCTACATATTTTTAATACGAAACTTTCACTGGTAAGCACTTCTGTTTATTAAAGTCAGACACTATAAAAATCTATCCATATATAAATATTGTTTATTAAGCATTGCATTATTCATGTAGTCCTACAGGAAAAAAAATACAGCAAAGCTATAAATTCTATCCATATCTTGTGAGCATTTATAGAATTTAGCTGCTGTTTTAAATAACAGACAAGGAAACAATTTGCATCAAGGAATTTTGGAAATCAATGGTGTATACCAAGAAAACTTTTCTCATTAAGGTCTTAACATCACCCTTGAATTAAGTAAGAGATGGTTGAATTTACATTGGATCTGACTCCAGGAGAATATGTAAAGTCACACAGATTTAGGTGAGAGTGCTCTTCAAGAACCAGCCATGGCATGGACATCCTTCATCACATTCCAGGCAATCCAGAAAATACAAAATGCCTTTTCTTTTTGAGGCTGTGTCAGAGGAGTACCTTCAAGGAGAGATTCTATATACAGCTGCCACAGCCTCCCTTCTCCAAGGTCTCACAAACCACAGTTCCCCAATCAGAGGTGAGCTCAGCACACAACCCCCTGTCTCCAGAGTCATGGGAATAGAGGGATGCCCACCTTGGGGTGTAGGAACAGCAGCAGAGTTCCAAACCACCCTCTGCAGGCTGGAGTTGTTAAGTATGGGCTACCCTACACTGGTCAGCACTCGACTAGAAATCAGCACAGAAAGGAAGAAAATCCTTGGCCTTCTTTATGCAAAACAGCCCTGGTATTGGCAAAACCAGTGCCCACTGATACCCAAAATTAGCAAGATCTCCTGAACACCCATCTCTTCTGGCTGAGCATTTTAAGGGCTTTGTGAGAGAGAAAATACTAAACTAGTCCCTTCTTTCTCTGCTCTGAAGGGAACAAGGAGCTCCTTAATTCAGTGAGAGAAGCCATGGAAGAAGTGAGCCAGAGAAAGCTACATCAGACATAAATAGACATCCACTTTAAAGTAACACAAAAGTTATTACCTCTTTTAATATCCTACTGCAGCTTACCCTACTAGGGCAGGAAAATCTATACAGCCTAACAAAGGATGCCAGATGGAAAATTCCACTGAGCTTAATTAGCTCACTGCTATTCCTGGATGACTGATACTGATGCAACTGCAAGATGAAGATTTTTTTTTTTTCTTGATCCTAACATGCATTTTTACTTTAGCTCTTAAAGGTGTAATTTTTGCTCAGTGAAAAAAAAAAAAAAAGTACAAGATAGGAAGCAGTGCTTTGATTTCAGATGAGAAAACTAAAATAAACATTCTTTTCTCAGGCTACAGTGAATACTTAAATGAGCAGGCTGGTAGTTTTTGTGGTCATATCACATATATTGCATACGTTTTAGATGAAATTAGAAGAGAAATAGTGGAATTCAAGGTAGTAAAGAGAGCAGAGCCATACAGACATTTGCATGGGGGTTGCATGGCCAGGTTTTGACAACCTGTGGGAGGGACCCCACCCCAGAGAAAGAGAAGAGTGTGAGGAGTCCTCACCTCGGGAGAAAGAAGCAGCAGAAGCAATGTACAATGAACTGAGCACAACCCTAATTCCCTGCCCCTCTGTGCTGCTGGGAAGGAGGAGGTAGAAAAAAAAAAGGGGAGTGACATTGAACCCACAAAGAAGGGAAGAGTGGGGGAAGGTTTTTATTAAGGTTTTATCTCTCACTATCCTACTCTGATTTAATTGCTAACAAATTCAGTTAACTTCCTCAAGTCAAGTCTGTTCTCCCCATGATGGCAATTGCTGAGTGATCTCTCCCTGTCCTTGTATTGATCCAGAAGTCTTTTCTTGTTTTCTCTCCTCTGCCCAGCTGAGGAGGGCACCTGGTATCCTATCAACAACACACAAGCAAAGCTGAATGTCTAGAGAATGTTCAAAACCTGAAAGAGAACACTGCTTGAAGACAGTAATCAATAAAACCAAAATTAAGAGAGTGCAGAAAACTTGAAAAAATAAAAGCAAAGGCTTATGAAATTCATACCAAGAACAAATGTGGCAGCCCCACATAAATAATAAGAGCAGAAAAGTCAGCTAGATTCCAAAGGATTAGGCTGAAGGCATCTTATTTTTAGTCTGTGAAAGGTTAAAAAACATTCCCTTCTACCCCTAGCAAAAACATACCACACAGAAAGGCTTGCCCTGGTTAATCTGAAATCAAAAAGGAAAAAGCTCAATTCCAGCATCAACATACACTTCACTTTGCCTTTGCTCATCCTGTTTTAAAATTAAACCTTCTTATTCATGTTCATGGGAAAAAAACCAACACAAGACAGACATTTTGTTACTGATTTTTCTTTAGCTACCAGAATTAAGAAGTTACGTATGGCCCAAAACATTTAGCATGCTGTCAGCTCACTGTATCAGAGGTTACACCTAAGTGTGCATGGTGTGAAACTGAACAATTGCATCCCACTGCCAAAATGTCTCAAGAAGAAGACACAGTCACCATTCTTTGCTGTTGGTATCCACAAGAAGACTCAGTGAGTCTCACATTTTCACACCCCTGTCACAAGGGGGGTGGCTCTTATACCTAAATCCTCCTTGAATTCTCTATGAAAATTCAGAGTATTCTCAAACAAACTTCCACTTGAATACATTTTATGTTCTATCAAAACAAAGGCCTTAAAACAAACAAGTTAGGAACAGACTGTTTGCCTTCTGCATCAAGAAAATTTCCAGTAAATTCCATATTTTCCACAGAAAATCTCAATATGACTTACATGCATGTGATTTTTTAGGCTGGAAGATACACTAGCTCCATCAAGTAGCAAACTACAAAAAACTTTCCCAATTCTTCCCCTACCACAGTTTCAAGTGGAACTTTTCACTGATGAAATATATTTTATCACATCCATTAAAAAAGTCTATGTGTCTACAGGGAAGTGAAGCTGTTGGGTAACCCCCTCACTGTTGAAACATTACCATGAAGAACTCTGTATTTAGGATTGAGCAGACAGGACTCCTATGATCTATCTCCTTCTAACATGGTGGTGTGGAGCTGATGCTGAAGGACACAGCTGCTCTCAGATTTGTCACCCACTGCACAAGATGCCTGAGACAGCACCGGGCTGAAGTGGAGGGACAAAGAGCAACTTCTTCTGAAGAGAAAGTCAAAACTGAAACTCAGCTTGGGGAAAAAGGATGGAGAGATGGTAGAATAGGAATGCTGTGGTGAGAAAGGGGAAGCAGCAGATGAAAAGGGCAGAAAGACCTGTAGTGGGTGGAAAAAAGTCTGCTGGACAGGACAGATTGTACAGAAACTCAGGAACAGAGCAAAACACAGGAATAGGGAGCAAGAGAAATGGGAACTCATTATTGAAAGAGTTCATTATTGAAAAGAACAAATAAGTTCATTATTGAAAGAACAAATTATCACAACAATGCCACACAGGCAACCTTTACTCTGACACTTCCTAACTTCTGAAAGCTAACCACAGCAACTTATTAAAGTTACTTCAAGGTAAGTTCTGCCATGTTTGTAATTAAAAAAAAAAAAAAAAAAAAAATTTCTCACATACTTTTCTACAATTAGCAAGGATAAAGTAAAAGGGCTCTGAGTAATTACAAGAAAAATTCTAATTAAAGACTATGGACGTAGGGATAGAGAAGAGAATAGACACTTAAGAAAAAGAAGAGATCCTATACATTTCATAAGGCCACATGAAACAACCATCTCTTATCTGAAACCAAAAAGTACAAAGGCTAAAAATAAATAATGAAAACTATTCCATTAAACACCCAGCAAGTCTATCACTTGCAAAAAATTAAAAATCTGGATTTGACAAACAGAAGAAGCTATTTGACCTGAAGTCTGGTCCACATCTAATCAATCTACGAAACAGTCTGGATTCTCTGGCAATAAATTATGAGAACGTGGTACTTTTCACAGTGCTTTGCCATTACCTTAAAAACAGTAAAAAAAAAAAAAAAAAAAAAAAAAAAAAAAAAAAAAAAAAGAGGAAAATTCACAAAAGGAAAAGTGGTGATTTTACACTGTAAAATATTTTTGGATAAAAACTCTCCAAATCTATGCAGTGATGAAGAGGAAAATATTTGCACAGTTTTCAACAGCATTAATTAACATTTAAAAAATTACCAATGTGTGAATAACTCCAAATATCTAACTCTGCAGATCTGCAAATTTCTTACCAGCTACTGGTAAATCCAGCTTTGCTCGTTTCAATTCTGATATAGAATTTTGGAGCTGCTCTATTACAAAGTCATCTTCATAGAAGAAATCCTTGGCTAAAGACTCCTGCAGAAATTCTACAAGCTCTTCCATTTGTAATTTCATCAGATGCTCTATATAAGGAGAAAAGATTACATTATACATTAAGATATCTTGATAATGAACACTCAAAAATGTACTTTAGTCATGAGGTGCTTTTGTTTTCAAAGTAGAATGAAAACCACTTGTTAATTAGGCAGATAACAGATTTCTACAACTAGAGATCTAAAAATACATTAAAAATTCACTTGCAAGTCACTGTGGAAATCCTTTCTACACATTATTCTTTACTTAGGATGTTTTTCAAAAAGGGGCACCTTCAGAAAACTAACTACAAGTCATCCTCCTTGAGCTTTCTCATGTCCAACAGCTTCAGGCCTTTATTTGTCAGCCAGCATCCTCAGCTTACAATCACTGCTGTGGATCTGTACAACAGACATCATCTCTCTTATTAGGAGCTCTGAAAAGCAGATAAACATTTTAAAAATCACTATTTACAGCACCCTCATTCACAACTGAATTAACTCCCAATGAAATGATGATGGCAGTTCACACTTCAGAACCATTGCTTCAGGCTCTCTGAAAATTCAGGTCATATTTTCAAAGTCATTTTATAATTATCAGATTATTTGTGTTTCCCTTTTTACACAGCAGTAAGGCCACATGGATTGCAAGGCTGTAACTGCATACCTATGTCTCTTTTTTCATCATTTGTACATCATCAACGGTTTCAGCTATATCATTTCAATATGGAAACCATAAAAAACCTGTTTTGCTGCTGTAATAAAAATTATCTTGGCATGTACTCCACAATGACTCTGACTGAATAGCTATACCATCCATGTTTTTGAGGGTAGACAAGAAATTGAGAAACAAATCAGAATCTGTCTTCTGCCAGCTTCTCTGCCAGCCCTCTCATCTCCTCTGCTGCCGTGAGGTTCTCCCAGTGTTTGATCCTGAAGGAAGTTGCTGTGTACTTGCTAAGCAAGCAAATCCACACTCAGACTTTTTCCCTCAGGTCTTCCCATTAAAAGAGTGGTGAATAAAAAAAAAAAAATCAAGTCGATAGCTATTTGCAAATAAAGAAGAGAAACCAAAATGTTAAGCCTAATGATTTGCCTCTAAATGTTTAGCTTTCTCAAGTGCAATAATGTAGAAGGTAACCTGTTCCATTTTTCAAAGTTGTTTATGAACAAACTAATGAAAACATCCCAGTGAGACAATAAGATAGCATCACCACAGTTCAAGAAGGATAAACTAGCAAGGAAATTAAAACATTGATTCTATGGGTCCCACACTGACCTACATTTACATAGAGTCAAATGACTTCACTCAGAAAGCCAAAATCCCACAGGAGGAGTGTCTCAAAGTTCAGCTACAAGGTATCATCCTTAGAAATGCTCAAATCTATTTAAAAGCCAACATCCACCCTCAAAAGCTTTTTGGGTCCTTGGAACGTAGGATGCCAAGTCACTCTGGGGAACCAGGCATAGATGCTTTAGACAGTTCTGTTCAAAATCTCAAATTTAATTCAACCAAAGTCAAGAGATAAAGGAGAAGGTCACACAGGCCTTTAGCACTAGAGAAATTCTGGATTTGAATTACATTCTTGGACAAACAATGGTATAAAGTGCCACAGAGTGGTGATTCCTTGTTGCTGAAGTATTTGCTGGTAGATTTTCAGCATTTAGTGGCACAGTCTTGATTCTTTGTGTGCTTTTTTGATTTAAATCCTGTGGGGGTTAAGAAGCCATTTCCAGACCATGAAACTAAACACACTTTTCCCCAGCGTTTAGTCAGTAATACAAATGACTTCAGGTACAAATAACTTTTTTACTCTAATAAATACTTCTGTTTGACAATCACACTGCATTGGGCCCAGCTGAGATGGAGTTAATTTTCCCCACAGGTGCCCTCACAGTGCTGCACTGGTGTCCAGAAAAGTCCATCTTGTTTTCTCCTTCCCCCAGTCCTGCTGAGGAAGGGAAGTACACAGCAGCTTAGTGGGCACCAGGATCCAGCCAAGATCAACCCACAACACACATATTAATTATATTAATAAAGAAAAGATTTTTAACTTTTTGTGCATAAGGAATGAAAAGTATCTGTCAGAAGCAGTATAAGGCACATGGAAAACTAAGATTTTTAAACATTAAGGTCAAACTACACAAAATGAGAACAAAACTAGCTGAACCTCTGTTTAGGTTTAAAATGTTTGACAGATTTCTCTCTTACTTCTGTGCAGTTTCAGAATTGTGTAAGACATAGCAGTGAGAATCCGTTCTCCTTCAAGTATGTAGATATCCCATATCCTGAGGCTTAATGTAAAGGGAGTCTGCAATGACAGAATCAGGCAATGCTGTGAAAACAGTCTGCCCCAAGTCACAATTAAAAACAGCAACAGAAAGAAAAACATACTCACACGATCAAGAAAACACTGGAAAAACCACTTGGTTGTGTAAAAGCTGGTGGGCATATCCTGGGAGTCCTGCAAACAGCACAGAAGTTGAAAAATACTTTCAAAAATCCAAGTAATGCCTTGCACTCTCCATGAAAAAACATTTTCCCCTTGAGGCTAACGTACTCAATAGTCAACATAAATAATTAATTTAACTATATAAGACATTGTTACTTCAACAGAGGCAAATTCTGGTTTTTATAGCTTTTCCTCATCAATTTCACCACCTGAAGAACATGCACTTCGAGGTGCTAAAGTATTAATACATCCTGGACTTTTATCACGTTCTTGGGACAGAGGTAGCAGAGGATAAAATCCTCTCTCAAGAATATAAAGCAGTATTCTGGAGCAACCCAAGTTCAGACACGGGGTCCATTAAGTCTTTCATTTCTCTGTAGCAAGGCTGACAATTCATGCCCAAGACTGAAAGGACTTCCTTACAAAAATACATATCCACCAGAAATTACTGGAAAACAACCAAATTCTTTGACCAGTGGGCCTCAAACAGGATGTAGGCTGATAATGAATTTTATTTCTTGATTAAGGGGCCTGATTTGCCCTAGAGCACAGATAATCCATCAGGTATGACACCCACTCAAAGACTGCTAAAGCTTCTCTGCAGCTTCATGGAGCTCTTCAAAGTCCTTTGCACAGTAAGAAGGAAAGCCAAGGTAAAAGCTAAAAAGTTAAAAAATCCTAAATTTTAACTGTGGGATAACATAATATTCTATACTTGCCAAATTCAGCTTTGCCAAAAATTGTGGACTTAATTTGAGAATTTAGTTATACAAACACTGAATAAACAATGGACTAAATCCCTTTGGTTTATGTACAGGCTTTATTTTTGTCTTTGAGGAGCTAACATTGGCTCATTTTAGTGACACACTCACAGGAAGAGATGAGGAAAAATATGTTGCTGCAAGTGAGCATCTCTTACATTACCTTTTAAGAACTGTAGATGGATTTTGGCAGTACAAATGTATTGTTAAACAAAATTCCTGATGCCTACTGGGAAGGGCATTTTTTTCCCATTAGGAAAATAATTTACATCTTAGAATAAATATAGCCAATATTAAAAAAAAAAAGGCATATTATTTTCTATTAAAAAACATTAAAAGAGATAAAACTCTACATGTAGCTTGAATGGACCATTAACACCTCTTATAAAGGTTATTTTTAAAATAGAAATTAAAACTGGTTTGTCCTAAAGTCACCTCTGCCCAGAGATGAACCACAAGCTAAACATACAAGAACCCCCTGATAAAATGTTCTAGCATCAGTTTGTTTACAGAAGCTCACACAAGGCCAAATAGAAGAACCACACATTGTCCTTAACTCAGAGGTCCAAAGTGAGACAAACATCCAAATTAATCACTCCTAGGATCCAATTTTATAACTTTGTCAAGATGCACCATAACTTTGTCTATAATGAAAACAACAGCACTCCTGCCTCTTAAAACTTCACTTGTTTTCCTGAGGTTTGCTTATTCTTGATCTAGTGGGTGTACCTGAAGTAAAACAAGGTAGAAAGCTGTAAATTTGCATGGGTTGCATAGCGAAATAAATACTTACCAAATGCTGCTTAAGTTTGGACAAAAATTTCTTCAGAATTTTGTCATGATGTTCCTGAAACCTCATCAGTTTTGGAAAACCAGGAATAAAAAAACCTAAGAAAATAAGTTGGTCACTTAACAGGTGTTTGTACTATAAAATGACATTTAAAAAAACATTAAAGCTCCAAGAACATTATCCTTCTGTAAGACCACTGGATCTGAAGAGATATTCATAACAATATTTTGATATTGTCTCTATACAGATATGCCCACACCTTGCCTAAATAGCTACAATCAATACATTCCCTTACTGACAATTATTAGATCAAAATGACAAATGACAGTAGATCCATCAGTCCTACATTAGTCAAAAGATAATGTGGAAACCACATTTATAATTATTCTTTAAAAGAAAACCAAAACAAAGAATCCCAACCCTCACCCACTAAAATTGAAATTATAGCCCAGAAAATTCATTATAGAAGGGCAAAGAGCACAGGTATCTACTAGAACTGTCTGCATTGAAGAAAAGACCATAAAAAAAGACAAGAGTGATATTCTAGCAAGACAAATATCATGATTATATCCTATAAGTAAAGACTTTGAGCTCACACAACTGAAACAAAGGGCTTTAAAAAACCCATCTAATTATTTTAGTCATTACACATGGAAAACTCTAAGACCCCTTCCCAGCTGAGGTATCAGCAGAGTTAGTTTTAAAAAAACTCCAACATATTTTAAGCAGGATAAAAACTGGAAGAATAAGTACAGACCCATAGTAGGTATGCAACTTTAAAAAAAAAAAAAAAAAAGTGACTAAAGTCCCAAACCAAAAAACAAAGCCTTTGTTGTTACCAATTGTGCAATTCAGTGCACAGTCACTAAGACACAAGATTTACTACCTCAGATTCACACAGGTTTAGTATTTCATAGATACAAATGCAAATTCTACAATACTTAAATGTCAGGTTGCATATTAGGAAATTTCAATAACACAGGCAAGGCATTTGGTGTTTTTCTTTTTGTGAACAGTGACTACATCAAAGCTAATTAGCCATCAACAATAACAATAAAGGTTCTTTTTCCACACAAGGCTGCTCTTTCACATTAACATACACCAACTCATTATCTTGAATTTTTAAGAACGATCAATGGAAAAAAACTTCCAAAAAAGCAGATAATTTTCAGGGTCAGATTGTCTGCATTTTATCATTTAGAGACTTTACATCTTCCATACAATATGAAATACCAGAGGGGACAAATTAATCTCTTGATTTCAAGTAGTTTCTATACTAGAAATTAGTCTGGCTAATGGGCTGCACCCAAAAAGTATTCCAGGTTGCTGTGTTACAGGTAAAATTGAAAAAAAAAACTATGAAAAACCTCGTCTGTCGGGAGAAGCATTTAACCATCCTAATCTTGCCAATATAATTCTAATTTAATTACTTAGCCCACTCCCATGATTTCCATAGGAAGATGCCCATTTCAGAGAACTATCTGATGGTCAGTGGCATCAAGTGCAACTGTAGAAGTTTTTCTTCATGGATATTGGCAATTTGGAACTGAAATTCCTTCAGCTTTAAAGAGTTGACAAACAGGGCTTTAAGCTACTTTCCCCAAAGAAGAACATAGAAAGTGCAAACTATAATATGACATCAGTAAAGTCAGCTTTAAAGTTTCCTTTCCAGAATCTACAGTGACATTTACAGATGTACAGTGACATTTAAAACATATAAATTCAAGGAATCCCAGGAAATCTAGGTTTCCTGGACTTCTGGAGATTATCTGGTCCAACCTGCTGAAAGCAGAACCTTAGACTAGTTGGCAACATTTAATAAATGATAAATTTGGAACATATGAGTTATAATTAAAGTTTTATCAACCTCTATAAATGCAAACTTGCCTAACAGGAACTGCCAAAACAGTTTCAGTGTGTATAATAAAGCTGTGACACAATGGTTCATATGCCCTGTGGAGAAGCTCATCAAGCCTTGGGCTACTCAAAGCTCCCTCCTTCCCTCTCCCATCACTTGACAGGTGTGTGACAGCAATAAAGGAGGGAAGGAGGGAGGTCTGCAACATCGCAAGCAACTCACCTACCTGTGTTTATCCTCTTGTTTATCATGCACATGGTTTGGTAAAAAATAAGGACCTGATTTTTAACTTACTTCCCCCAGAGTAAGAATTTTCTGTGAGCTTTGAGGAGCTCAATATTCTACATGGCTGCAGTTACACAGGTTTAGATTATTATGAAATCTATAGATTTTTTTTGTAAGATGCTTTCAGTCTGTGTTATCATTGTGTAAAGCTTCAAGAAAATCTTTTGATCTTTGATGAATTCAAAATTTCATTTATGACATTGACATCAGATCACACTTTTTTCCTCCAACCAAGTTGATAGCTTTGCAGAACTGTAAACAGCAAAATAATAAACTATCCCTTTGTTTTGGGGGTGAAGAACATCCAGGAACAATTAAAAGCCTGGGAAGGAAGGTATCTCAGAATGAGAAATTCTTCAGCAGGGAAAAGCAGCTAGAGCTTGTTGGAAATTTGCTAAAAAGCCCAAGTTCTAGATGACATTTAGTTTTTCAGACTTCCAAGAACCACAGCGTTTCTAAATCACCAGAACTACAACATCACAAAAGTTTTGGAATTCCTGGACTTTTTTCATACCAACAGCCATGGAATATGCATAGATCATACTAAATCTGGCATGTTAAGAGAGAACTACCAATAACACAAGAGCAACAATACCATGAGAGCAGGAAATTCTGTGTGAGGTAGAGATAAAACTGAGAAGCCTGAAGTTCATGCCTAGACACAAGTCCATTTTTGACTGTAGATTCCTGTTCTGCCAAACGACAGCACAGCTGCAATATTACTTAACACATTCTGTATTAGGCTTCCACTACTATTTTATTACTATATAGATGTCTACATAACCAGTTTTCAATTGGTTACATTCCCTGAGAGACTAAGAGAAGAGGAAGCCATCTGATTTTCATTAAGAACTATTTGAAAGATATCACATATAAAAACCATTACTCTCTCTTATGGATGAGAGCTCCAGTAACATCCAATACCTCCCCTAAGTATAAAACTCTCATTATGTTTTATTTTTGACCAATCAGAACAGAACAGTTTCATTTTCAAATAATTTACAGCTTAAATAGGATAGGTTGAAACCTAAATACACTGACATGAAACTCCATACCATGCATAGCGTGCTTTGGACCAGAGAGAAGTTTCACCAAGGCCCAGAAGGCATCTTCTTCATTCATGAACATCAGGAGCAAAGCTGTGATCTGGCTCATTCCCTGACAGTATCCAACTTCCTGAAAATCATACAGTGGAAATATTAAAATGCTGGGAAAAAAAGCTTCATAGACATGAGCTTTTAGTTTTTCCTTGAGTTAGTGGAGGAAAGATGATGCCTGTCCTGATGGCAAAGCTTCCCACCAAACACACTTCGTATTTAAACATTAAAAATATTGATAGATAGAAGAGATGATGCACAAACCCTCCAAGTGAAAAGTAACCTGGAGGTATTGATTGCTCATTAAAACTCACTACTGAAATCCTTGGTCAGTACTAATATTTTCAAGTTACTGTATCATATTTTTGTCTAATATATGCATTTCTCATTTAGTTGCAATTTTGGGGTTTTATGGAGGGTGAGAATATCTGGCTTTATTCTTGTTTACAGTCAGGGCACCATCAGATAAACACAGGATTTTAAAAGAGTGACTTGTAACTATAAACTTGCTCAAGTTTAGCAGCCCAATAGCAAGCAACTGTAATAAACCCAAAGAAAAAATTATTGTTCCAAAACTTAACTTGAGTACTTCCTCTGCTATTAATTTTGAATTTTATGGCAGGAACCAGCTGTCACTATCATTCAGCTGCAAAGATAACCCCATCAATAAAGTATTTGTAAGGACAATTACGCAATTGTTGAGGAGGGTTTTTCAGGTTTACAAGTTCCTAGCACAACTTTGTTCTAGAGATAAAACCAAAGCATAAGAACTGCTATACATTAAGAGGAAAAATACAAGAAGAAGTGCAAAATAAAAACTTCACTATAATATTCTCATCATTACACTCTGATGATTGATTTTAAAAATAATTATTCATGCAACTTGAAAATACCAGTCCAATATTTTATACGAGGTAGAAAAGGTCAGACAGAAAGGTTACATTTCCTAGAACTTTGAAAAAAATCCAAACAATCCAGTATTTAATTCAAGTACATGCTTTAATTTCTCTTTCCTCTTCTAAAGTTAACATATTTTATATTGACTTCTAGGGAGTTGCTAGTGGATTTAAAATGGAAGATGTACAGAAATGCTCAAAATGGGCCCAGGGAATGAGGGGACAGTGCATTAAAACCCCAGTTAAATGTGGACATGAAGGCACTTCTTTTTCTTTTATTTTTAGGTACAGCCAAAAGACATTACAAAATACATAAGCTTCTAACCCTTATGATATAGTCTGGAAACCCCATTCTAATAAATCCCATTCAGGACTGCAGCCAAGACCAAGCACTTATGTAAAGAAGATGCAACCTTTTAAACTAATTCCAAATTTTTAAAACCTTTCAGGTTATGAAATACACCTGTGGACTCCAACATGCATCTTTCTGCAGAATTTTCCTCCCCATCATTCAAATGAAAGGGATGCAGATAATATAGTGGGGGAAAATATCAGTCACATAACACTCCAGCACAACACAAATTAATTATTCTTATTACAAACTGTAAGCATAGTTCAGGTTGTCCAATAAAACTCATAATTCAAGTGCTTTATTTTAACTTCAGCTCAAAATATGTCAACAAATAATTTTTTTTCTATGTACTTCCAAAGGTCTCTGAAATGTTTGTTGGTTTTTTTTTTAGGGAGAAAGAAATGCAAGTTATTATCTTACAGCACATTTAGAGAAACCAGATTTAAGTGTGAAGGAACACATCTTACCGTATTATATATGGAATATGCAGCTAAAATATGGAACAAAGATTGTTGCCTGGAGAAATAAGAGCAGAAAATGAAAATACTATAGTATTATATTTTGTAAAAACAGAAAAACATAGAAGTAGTGAACTGCATTTTGGAAACATGTTTTCCCAATTTAACTTGTCTAGCACTAAAGAACAGGATAAACCACACTTCACAATGATAAGTGCTTCTGATTTCAAGCCTGTTTTGTAATTAGCACCTTTATGATGTTTTACATGTTGAAATGTTTCAAAAATTACCAATATACTTTAGAAGAGAGTGGTGGCACATCATCACTCTTACAGACAGGTAAAGTGAAACATTGCATGGGTGACATTTGAAACACTGATTTATTCTGAATGCCAAAATTTAAACTCCCCAAACCTGTTTTCTGTGCTTGCAGAACACTAACAGCTGTTACTGATTCCAAACAGAGATGTAGAAGTGAAGATGTGAAATACACAAAGCAGCCACAAAGGTGTCTTAATCTTGGCACTGAAATTAAAGTTTGCTCTAGTGACTGCTACTGTCAAACTGAAGAAAAACAATATTAACTCTGGCCCAGCATCCTGTGCTCAGCCCTCTGTTGATCTCTGGGTACTTCAGAGCTAGAATTACAGAGAGATTTGTAGAGGTCCCTTGCTTTCTGTAAAACAGTGTAACTTGTGAAGGTAGCCAGACAAAAACCCCCAAACAACACCAGCACAACTCCTCTCTTTCCAAGCTGTGTATGAAAGTAACAGTGGAGAGCTCTCATAATCTACTTTTAAACTCACAGCTACTTTTTGTCACATGTTCAGGAGAGAATCTGGATACCTGAATGCCTCCTTTCATCTACAAGTAAAACTGCAAAAATTTAACAGCAGAGTTTTGCATATTGCCCTTTTTCTGTACAGTGAAATTTTCTCCCTGTCACTAATCAATGAATGGAAAGAGATATTAGCAGGCTAAATAAAAGCAAGCATAAGCCAGAAGGTGCTTATTTTCTTTTGAGAAGAGGATTTATACGTTAAACTTTATACTTTAAAATAGGAGAATTTTATCAAAACACCTGTATTGTGGCATTTTGCTTTAAGAACTGAAGTTTAGCCATTCTTGAGTAACCAAAGTGTTATAAGGTACTAGACATTAAGTTGGAGCCTCATTTTACAATGACAAACTAACAGGTCCCCAGTGAACACAGGAACCTCCTGTACCCTCAGCTGACCACGTGAAACTGAGCAAAGGAGCTCAATCTCATTCACAGTTCCATACACAGAATAACAGTGATTTCAGTATTATTTACACTAGATGGTAGTACTGAAGACCTGTAAAAGAATGAACTTTCAAAGACATACAGTCTGCTTAAAAGTCAAACAAGCAATTGACTTACCATGGGGATTTTATTTCATTGCTATGTGAAATGATTTCTGAATTTTTCATGGAGGCATTGCTGGAAATGCATAATATATGTACAGTAATTCCAAGATCTATTCCAAGTGTGAAATTGCTTTAGGCAGCCAAAGGCTTTCCTGTGGACTCTGAGGGGGTGGTTACAGTACCAGCCAAAGGGACTGGAGCTGGCTCTGCTTGTGTTAACCCCAAACTTAAGAGGCAATGGGCTTCTGCTGACATCTAAAATGTGTGCACAGAAGGAAGAGAGGCACAAGCAGCACAGGCACTGCCAGCCCTGCACAAATGGATCAGAACTGCACTGGCTGCACAGAACCACCTCAGCCTGAGAATCTCTGCTCTGTGCTCCTTCCTTACAGCCATCTGAGAAATTCCCCTGATTCAGGATTTTTCCACAAAAATATCTAGAATAATAATGTAATAAAATGATTATTTTATGATCACATTAAAACCCATAGCTCTAAATACCATTTTTTAAGAACAGCAGACCACCACAAAATCTGCCTTGGCAAGAAAAGGAGATTAAAAACGGAACTAATACAGAGACAGAAGGGGAAAAATACCCTCTTCTCAGCAGGGTGCTGATGCTGCAAGCGAGCAACAATACTGATGTTTGCATCCCCACTTTTTTTCACTATTAAGCATTTTTAAAGATGACAGCTGCCTAATAGTCCTCCTCTAGTGGCAGCAAAAAAAAAAAAAAAAAACAAAACATTTTGAAGAAATCCAAAAGCACTGTGGCCTATAGTTGTAAATAATTAAATGCTCACATACAAAAATACTGCTTTATTTGGTTCTGAATTAGATAATGGGAGAAGAATACAGAATCCAAAGGAAGGCTAAAATCTCTTTTTAAGTAGAAAGTTTACTCACTTCACACCGTATCTGTCCCGGAACATGATGTTGTCTCGGTACGTGCGGTTCACATCAAGGTCAATTTGCCGAATGTCTGGAGAAGACCCTCGTGCTTGATACTTCAATTTCTGGGAGTACAGCAAAGAACAGAAGTTTAAAAATGTGAACTCTAAAAAAGCAGAAACCTGCCTGACTGTACAGATGTGTCGAATTAATTGCCATCATGTGATTTAAAACAATACAGAATAGCAACTCACAAGATTAACAGTTTTAACTTCCAAAATAAGCATATACATGTACAAATTCTATGAGTCAGAAACAGCCACAGAGTAAAGATGTAGAAAGACCAATCCTATAATACACATTTTTTGACACATCATTCACGACTCATATTTAAGGCTGCTTCAGCATTTTAAATTTCTTGTTGTCATTTCTGAGGCAGGCACAGCACTAGAGAAAGAAAATAAATTTTGCTACTAAGGAACAAGATCCTGAAATGCAAATGCTCTAGACTAGGCTTTAAGCAAATGATTTAGTGTGGCTTTCATACTTTTCCAGTCTTTTTCTCTAGCAGAAGTAATAGCTACATAGCTGCCAGTTACTACTTAAATATAGATAATGGACATTTCTCTAGTAATTTTCTCTTTCTGTTCTAAGCTACTTTAGCTGTAGAATATGTCTACTTTAGCACTTGCTTTAGTGTTTTATAATTAAATCCATTTTTGTAATTGAATACTTATGAAACCTGCACAGGTTTAGACTGACACCTTATTTTTTGCACTTAAAATAATTTTCTCTTGACTCTCATTCATTTATTCTCACTTCTGTCCGTAAAAGTTGAGTTTACAAGACCCTGGATTCAATATGGTATTTTTAAAACATTATTTCTGACTATTAGAGAATACCACAGACAATCAAAAGGCAAAACTCTACAGACTCTGGTTGCAAGCAAACAAGAGTAAAGTCAAAAATGCTAACATTTTTGGGAATCAAACAGGGAACAGTAACATACATCAAGTGTTGAACACAACCAGAAGCTTTAGGCACGTGAGGAATTACTTGTAAGTCATTGAACCAACACAACACTAACCACAATTGCAGCTATGTGCACCTTTCAGTACAATTTAAACTGAACACCCAGACTGATTTGTTCCCTAGACAGACAGAAAAGCAGCAAAGGGAAAATTTCTAGTTTTAAACACCTATGATTTGATGGAATATAGGAAGAGAAACAGCCTAAGCCCTCGCAATCATGGGAGCTTCACATGCGAGAGAACAGAAAGGAACCAAAATTGTGAGAAACAGGAAGGACAGAAGGTTAAGAACTGGAATTTCCCCTGCAAAGCGAACTGAAAGAAGTTATTTGACCTACAATAAATGTGTATTATTCTTCTAATTTTAAGGTGTGCAGTTTGTAAGTGATACTTGCAGTGAGCAGTGTTAATCACTTCAGGAAACAGGAAAATAAAGAGCAGCAAGATGAGTATAACACAAATCACATAATGATGGGAGAAACTCCTTCTACTTCTGTATCTGAACTACAAACGTTTCTTTGTTTTGCATTGAGAATTAGATGACATTAATAATTCCTGAAAATTATTTCACCTATTTTTAAATGCTTCTAATTTTACTTGGCAATCTTTCTCACAACTACATTATTCAGCATAACCTGTTGTTACCTCTTTTGGCTCTCCCACTAGTCTTATTGAGGAACTTAAAATATAATAATCAGGAAAAGCAGCCTATTAGACTAAAGAGCAAGAAATATGAGGAAGGTAACAGGCACCAAAATTAAAATAACATCAATACCAACACACATCTTCTTTCATAAGAATCCTCATCTACTCAGACTCAATCTCAGCTCAGCTTTTGAATACACAGCCTTTTTCCTAGCTAAAATAAGCAATAGATTGCAATGTAATATCTAATTTATTTTTTTTAACATTGCATAACAACAAAGGCTTAATAAAGTCTGTAGCTTTAGTATCGGATATTTTAAAATTAATATTAAGTAGAAATTCTACAAACTCACATTATAAAAGTCTTTCATTTCTTCTTTCATCTTTGGAACATCAAGCAACAAAGACCAGACTTGCCCTCTCAACTGCAGTGGGATCCCTTTATAAATTCTCCTATGAAACTGCAAAAAAAGGAAAGAAGGTAAAAATGCAGCACAATTTACAAAGCTCTGAATAAAATGAATAGTGATGCACAACATGCTGAAGAGAAAAATGGAATTACACTGAGCACTTTAGAAAGAGATGACCTGCCACGGACAAAGTGTTTCAGTGTGTTTTGAACAACATGTCCAGCAGTGCCATTTGGGACCTCTTGACAGAATCCAGAGGCTCAGGGACAAAACAGTCACACAGGCCAAACCATCCCAGGTGATGTTTTCAAGCCAGGACTTTTGCATGTAGGAAGGTTTGTCAAAATTGTATCACCTGTGCTCAGCAAATTTTGTAATTTAGATCCGAAAAATCAGATTCTTAGCATCACTATTTCAAGATAAGCCACAAATAACTCACTGTAATTACAGTCTATAAATAGAAATAGCAAAGAAATCAAGCAGCAAAATCACAAAGCTTTAAAAATTATCAGTAAAAACCCAAAAGCAGAACTGACTTTTGAATTCTTCTAAAACTGCAACAGTATGCTCAAATCTATTATGCAAGGAAACAAACCTTTTGTGAGATCATAAAAAACCAGAATATGCCATTTCTAAAGCTAACAGATTTCACATTCTATTTCTAAACTAATAATCAATCTCCTACATACATATTAAAACATTTACAAAAAACCAACAAAAGAACATAAAAAGTTGTTATCCTCTTTTGAAGACGTATCTAAGACAAGGAAAATTAAAAAGACAACTGTGACACAGAAAATGAACCTTTCTGAAGTTATGTTTTTACCATTATTTTAATGATTACACAGGGAGACAGGTTTAAAAGAGAACAAACCACACACAACTGCTCTCAGATTTTTTCTTCATGTTTATGCTACAATGAAGTTAGACCTTAAAAATTTCAGTTGACAAAGCTACCGCTTCCTTTAAACATTTTTATAAAAGTTATGTTTGCAGCAAGAAATATTTTAAAAGCAATGTCCTCCTCAAAGACAAGATTGTTTTTCTTTTCACGTATTTCACATCTCCAGTTTTGGGAAATTAATGAAACTCTCATTGCAGTATATTTCCAAACCTCCTGCCATTTGGAATGTATCAGCTCTTTAAAGGTGTCTTTAATGCCAACAAGGATTTGTGTCTGGCTTCCAGGATCTGTAACTCTTGCACAAGTAAGGTTATGAGTTTCTTCCCTTGTTCCTTTTTCAAATGAAAAATGAACTTTTATAAGATACAACAGCCATCCTGGAGGCTGACCACACACAAAAAAAAAAATGTTGTGCTTCATAAAGAAAACTTTGCTGCATTAATATAAAGAATGCTAAAGCTGCAACACTTGCAGTGTGAGCACAGCTCTGCCAGTAGAGCTTCTCCTGTAAAGATGAAGAACATACAGAGCTCCAAAGCAGCCTTCTCTACAGTAGATACCCCTGAGCTCAGGTTACACAGGATTTCAGTGTGTGTCAACCCAGACACAAGGGTACCTGCTTGTAGGAGAGAAGAAAATTTAGTCTTTTGAACGTCAAATACCCCCAACTGCAGTGAAGTCATCCTAGGAAGAGATTAGCCTGTCTACTGGAAAGCAGAATGAGCCAAATTTGCAATATCTTTTCTGGAAATTTGGAAGAAAACTATGGGGAAAAAAAATGCAGTGATTTATGTCTTCAGTGACAGGTAGTTTTATTCCTCAGACCCATGTCCAGCAACAGAGCACCTTCACAACAAACATTTTTGTCAGCTAACTATAGTTTTTTAACTGATTTTCAAACGTCTCAAAGAACAAAACCTTATTAATGAAGACAACTGGTTGAAGAATACATTCTCAAGACTACTGCTGTTGTATAAATTAATGTTTTGGGAGAAGGTCAGGTAGATATAGAAGGCCAGAAATAACCCTTTTTAAAAATAGCTTCTTATCCAAAGAGAATTAAAACAATGCAAACCATCCATCCAAATTGTGGAGTTGTTCAGGGTTTTTTGGAAAATAAAACTGAAGGAGAAGAATCTCCAGATTCAGAGGAGTCCATGGCATTTACAATTTTCCCATCTTCTGCACTGCCTGGATTGAAACAGCCAAATGCTAAAGAGCCCTTAAAGCAGTAAGTAAAAGCTGAGACAGAGAACTGTGGAAGCACTTTTCACAGAAAAGTTTGAAAAATGAGTTGCAAATATAACTTTAAAAGAGCAGAAAGCACAGAGAGGTGAACAGTTTCATCAGCCAACTACAGCTATGCACAAAAAAAAAAAAAAGGAGGAAAGCAAAGATTTTTAGTAGCTAAGCTCTGAACTGTTGCACTGCCTGACAGAATAACCCAAATAACTCTCACAGCTTCTTGCAAACCATTTTAGATCTGTGTTCAACTGACTCTGCTGTTCCATCTATTCTTTTATTGAGGCAGAGAAAAAGCTCTCAGTTATCCCAAGTTATTACCAGAACCTGCCTACAGACTCAGCAGAACACAAGACCAAAACTTTTCACCATCTGATACAGAAGAGAGAAATGTCACTCAGTCATGGCATGGGCTCCAGTACACAAGTAAGAACATGGAAATGAGTGTGAAAAATTTCATATCCAATGGAAAACTGAGAGGAGTGGCTGATACACCAAGAAGGCTGTGCTGCCATCCAGAGTGATGTTAACAAGCTGGAGAAATGGGCTGCCAGAAATCTCAGAGTTCAACAAGGAGAGGTGCAAAGTCCTGCACCTGGGAAGGAACAACCCCAGGCACCAGAACATTCCAGGGGCCACCAGCCAGAAAAGAGCTCAGAAGAAAAGGATCTGGGGGTCCTGGTGGACACCAAGTTGAGCAGGAGCTGGGGCAATGCCCTTGAAGCAAAGATGACCAGTGGTATCCCGGGCTGCACCAGGCAAAACTATTCCCAGCAGGATGAGGGAGGAGATCCTTTCCCTCTGCTCAGCACAGTGAGTTCAGTTCTCAGCACAAGACAGACATGGACACATTGCAAAGAGCTACAGAGATGATGAGACTTGACCACCCCTACCATGAGGAGAGGCTGAGAGGGCTGAGACTGTTTAGCCAGGAGCAAAGAAGGCTCAGGGGGATCTTATCAATTTGGCTGTAGCACCATCCTGAAGGGAGAGTGCAAAAAGGATGGAGCCAAGCTCTGTTCAGTGGTGCCTAGTCACACAACCAGAGGCAATGGGCACAATCTGAAACACTCAAGATTCCCTTTGAACATGAGGAAACATTTTTTCACTGTGAGGGTGACAGAGCACTGGCACAGGTCACCCAGTCAGGTTGTGGTGTCTCCAATCTTGGAAATCTCAAAAGCCATCAGGACATGGTCCTGGGCAGCTGGAGGTGGCCCTGCTCGAGCAGGTGCAGGACCAGGTGACCTCCAGAGGCCCCTTCCAACCCCAACCTTTCTGTGACCCTGTGCAGTTCTGCAGTTTTGTGGAAATGACACAGCTGTGCTGCATCTTGGGGAGTGGGGGGGAACTCACACACACTTGACTGCAAAATTAATTTCTGATAATCATTCAGTTCCCAAACAGTTAAAGAAAATATAAATGAGCACCCTGATTATTAGCTGCTGAATGTCTTGCCCATAAGCACCATGCTAGTGCCCTCTGCTGTCTTTCACGTCCTTATGTAATGCCAGGTAAAAAATCTGCTGAGAAATGCTGCTTGTATCTATATACTTGCAGAGCTCTCATCTAATTTCCTGCTCTCTCCAAATTAATAATCAAAAGAGAAAGTAGAAAATTCAGGAAGTTACTTTTTTCTTCTGCTTCTGGGAAGGTGAAATACTGAGTAGTTTTAAATAATTTCTGCAGATTAAGGCTTTCTTAAGGTAATTGCTCAAAACAAAGCACAAATAAATAACTCAGAGTTCAGATAAAAAGACACAGCTATGAAAATACTCATCATTTAAAGAATGGGGTTATGGGATCTGGGATGTTTCCATCAGCACAGGACATAGAAAAAAGAAAGTGATCCTCAATACATATGAACACAGGATACACAAAAATACAGTTTTTTACAGGTTCTGTAGCACATCTAAGCTGATATTCAGCCAAGGAGAGCAGTCAAATTCTTGCAATTATTAATTAGATGGTTAATCCTGAAGTAGGTAGGAGAAACTGACACTAAATGAGGCCTTATCACTTGGGAATTCAAGGGAGCTTCTCAGGCAAAAACAAATTGGACCAATAAATACACTGAATATACAGAATGAAATAAAACCCTTATAAAGTAAGAGGACAAAAAAAATTAGCTATCATGAAGGCCATAATATCCAACATGTAAAAACACCTGGAAAACATACAACCTCCCCTTCCTTGCCTGGCCCCCATCTCTCCAGCTCACAAACCCAACTGGTTTTTGGAAAGCAAAATGAGGCCACTGTCACACAGCACTGGCTTGAGGAGTGGCAACTGGCATCATTGCTCCTGCAAGATATAAAGCTGGTTTTCTTGAAAACAAAACTTTCCCAGCTGTCAGGCAGAGCTGCACAAGTAGCAAAGGGACTCTGCCACCTCGAAAAGAATCTGTGATGAGAAGCATAAGAATTAAAATCTAAAGTCTCACAAGAAAGTATATTTATAATGAAAAGATAATATATTTATAAAGGCTGCTGCCTTTAGAGGTTCTTCAGCTTCTGTGGGTTGCATAAAAGGAAGAAAAAGTGCAAACAGAAGAGTTGCTCCATCTCATTCAAAAATCTCAGGAATGCAAAGAGGGTTCTTCATTAGGGCTCTGTGTTCAGACTCCAAACGAACTGGAGACTTGATTATTATACTGTGTGTGAATGCCAGAACAGCTGGAAATGGCAGCTACCCTGATTGTTTCTCTTCTTCCTTTCCCCTTCAATTTAGGCAACTTCAATCACAGATAGATGAAGGCAGACAGGGAAAGACAGAAATACTTTGGTGGAAATACTCAAATGGGAATACAACATATAACAGTTTTATTTAATCTTTCCTGAAAGTTATGATCATACTAAGCCAGGAAGGATTTACTATCTGTGGGTGGCTGATTGTACCCTGAACTACTAAGCAGTAGAATACAAATAGGAAATAAGAGCACAAACTAGAGAAGGACCACGCTGAAATACAAACTTTGCTGCTCTGTGACACTTCCTGCATAAGAAATGACTGATGGGGAGATGAAAGTTTTATTCTGACAAATATCAATCAAGCAAAGACACAAGGGCAGTTACACACTTCAAAGTGCTATCTGTAAGAACCATGAAAACTCCACTGAAAGAAATGCCTAAACAACCACACAGGAATCAAGGAGTTTTATACACAAAGAGCGAGTCACACAAAAGCACCAGGAGGCCTTTATGAATGAACAGAAGCGCCTGGGCAATCTCAAACAGAAAAAGGAAGCCCATGGGGGGAAGCAAGGACAGGCAGTTTGGAGGAATACAGAGAGACCATCCAAGCAGCCAGGGATTAGTTAAGAAAGCTGAAGTCCTGGTGAGATTAAATCTGGCCAAGGATATAAAGGCAACAAGAAAACCTGCTATATAAGGAAGAAATTCTTCCCTGTGAGGGTGGTGAGACCACAGCACAGCTTCCCAGAGAAGCTGTGGCTGCCACATCCAAGCAAGTGTTCAAGGCCAGGCTGGATGGGGCTCTGAGGAAGGTGGCCCTGCCCACAGCAGGGGGCTGGAACTCTATGATCAAGAAGGTCCCTTCCACCCAGGCCATTCCATGATTCTGTGATTCTACACTGTTATGGAGCTGTACATGGGCTCACTTCATTATATCATACTTTACTACCTCTATTAAATTACCCAAATATTGTAGAGCCTGACACATTTCTGGTCTCAATATGACAATTCTTCCATCTTTTTCCAGTTCCTCATAGGCATACATTCCTAATCTCTATTCCCCACCTCATCTTTTTTACAAGGTTTAGCACAAGAGTTCTAATGGGAAAACAGTGTGGAGTTTCCAAATGCCTCATCTATTTCTTTTATCTATTCTTGTGTGTGTATATATATATATATTCTATATCTATCTACTCTATTCTATATCTATCTATGAATATATATATCTATTCTTGTATATATATGTATATATATATTCTTCAGCAGTCAAGATGAGGAGAAGATGTAAAGTGAAGTATCTCAAATGCACACACCCACCCACCACTGTGCTAATGTTTTCTCATTAATTTTCTTTGGGAAATTATGACAGAAAAAAAAAAGTTGAGACGCAGTCTATAGGCAGCTCTGCAAGAGTACTGAATGAAAACTGTAGTTTGCAATTAAGCATATAACAGTTTGGGATAACAGAATCCAATATATGGATTCATTTACAGTATGTGTACAGAATGAACAGATTCCTTCATGGCAAAGCTCTCTTTGCTGTATATTATGAAGGCTCATCACAAACAGGCTGTCCAAAGTCTTGTATTTTGTATATACCTGCTGTATACCTGGGACCATCACTTTCTCTCAGTCTCCCTTCCTACCTACTTAATAGCACAGTCATGTCTCAAATGTGCCATTTTCCAAAAACAAGCTAATTATAATCTATAATCCTATAACATTGTTACTGTTGTTGTTGCTGCAATGTTCCCTTCAGTGCTGTTTCTAAAGAACATTCATTTCAGGAGCAGCCTGACTGCACAGAAACCATGGCAGTGTCAGGTGATGTGAGTCTTGTAACACACAGGCTGTTCATTTTCTTTAGCAATTTGTTCCTCTAACATTAACCACTTTATCCAGTCAAGTGAAGACAGAAAATAAGACTCAGGAACTGTTCCTGCAACTACTCCCTTCCATGTTTCAAGAATGTGAGCTTGGAAAGCTGGTGCATTCTTCCAACACACAGATAAAAGCTGCCTTTAATTGTGAGTTTTGCATGGTTCTGAGAACATGGTCAGGCTTTCCATAAAGAGCAGTGACAAATAATGTCTGGCTTTCAACTGGGTGCTCAGGAGAAGCAGGCAGCTGATTCTTTATTCTGTATCTTCTGGTTGACTAAGCACATAAAATGTGAGATAGAAAAGGAAAACACCCTTGTTTTTTAAACCTCATATGCTTCACTAGAGTTCCACAATGAGTGAAAATTTTTCCTAGCCTCAAGTGACGTTCATCCCTTTATGAACATATTGAATTATTCCGGCCCCTATTTATAGTTCAGTCTATAATTTGTTACATGAACTGAAGCTCTTTCTGCTCAGCTGATCTGCCAGACCTTCTGCATGCCTGGTGAAGAGAGGATTATTTATTTAAGTCAGTATCTCGTGGACTGAGGTCACCAGTGGCTGAAGAGCACAACCACTGCTGCTTAGATGACACATGGTTATTGTGTTACCTGAAAGGTCACATTTAACATTCTCTTTGCAAACAAAACAGCTGTTATAGAGGTTTTTTATTGTCCCTTTGACTTGGGAACATATTTGGTCTTAAAATCTCCTTACTGCTACATTAACAAAACAAAGAAACAAAGTCACAACAGTTAAGACCCCTAATTTCTTCTCCCAGAGAAAATGGCAGGACAAAAAGTAGGATTATAAGAAAACTTTGGGAACAAGTAATTATTTTTCATGCATGCACATAATATTTTAAGAAAATGGACTTTCTAGATTCTGAGCTATGCCATCAGAAGACCCAACAGAAAATGCAAAGACAGCTTTTGTTAAACTGTCCTGTGTTAACACAGCTTAACACAAGTCTTAAACTGTGCTGAAGAGAAGACGGAATCTGAATTTGGGATTCTGTGCATTATTCACCAAACAGTAACAAGACCAGCTATGAAACCCCTCCCACAGCCCAGTGCTGGGAATACAGCTTCTTCAGCGAATTTTTTTCCAGCTGAAATTCTTCCATAATTTTAAGATGACCAAGACCACAATTCCAGCAAATAAACTGTTCACATGGAAGTCCCCACCTAGTTTTAAAAGCAAGTAAAATATTTAGCACTTAATGGCACACCTGACATGACCCACTCTGTCCACAGATTATTCTGCACACATGAACACAATTCCTTGCATTTGATCACCAGTTTTATGGGGTAATTACTATTGGATTATTAGGTATTATTGCATTTTGGAAGAACAAAAAACCTTATTCTTTCATTGTGGGGTTTGGTGTTTTTTTTCAGGTATCATACACAGGCAATCTAATTTCAGGGTATACATTCTTTCCAAAATGACAGCCAATGACAAAAGCATGCACAATTTTACCTTTTCACTATTCTTGTATTTTTCCCAGCTTTTCAGCATCTTAAGCCATTTTGTAGTTCTTTCAATTTCAAGATTCTTTTGCTGAAAAGGAATTAGAAATTTTTAGTATCTCCAAAACAAATGCATTTAAAGTTGTCTATGTTTTTCTAAAAAGAACAAGAGAATGTTTAAGAGAGCATTATTAATTTTTTTCAGTCATCTGGGAATGGCAAAGGGTAACATCAGTTCATTTAAAACATCCAAAAAAACAGCCAACAAAAAACCAAGCAGAAACTCTTATTTTCAGCACTACGGACAAATTGTATTTTATAAGAGATTAAGTACAAGATTTCTAGAAGTTTCTTTTTTACATATTTGGAAAGTTACAAAAAACAAAACAAAACAAAACAAACAAACAAAAAAAAAAAAAACAAAAAAAAACCCACCAAAACTCCATTTGTTTTTATACTCAATTTTCAGGCAAATAATTTCTGCTGCAAGCCACTTAAAGTTAGTTGTCTCTGAAATTATCTTCTTTCCCCAGACTTGCCCTGAACATCATTAGCTTCTGTTTGCAAGTGATCACACAAACCATCCTTTCTTAAAAGGCACAAAGTTAAAAATGAACAAAAACAAATACATGCAAGAGCGACAGCACAGGAGCAGAAGTGAGAGTAAGCTTTAATTTTTAGACATTAAAAGCTAGAAATCCTTGCCATAATTCTCCTCCTGAAGAATTCTGGCACATTTTCATCTGAATTACCCTGTAACTTAATATCAAAAATTTCTTTCTGAAGATTTATTAGCTTAAATTTTATTACTGACATGAATATTTCAGTAACAAGGTGATAGAATGAGAATCTAGATCAAAACAAACCCCATCTTCTCAAAATAAATGTTTACATTAAGTAGTCTAGCAAGTACAGCCCTACTACCTTAGAGACTGCCCTTCTGTCTATGAAAATACTGCCAGAGTTGCCATTAACTTCTTGAATTTGGGAACCAAACAAGCACTTGAAATCAGCCATCTTAGCCCTTGGAATTTCAAGGCACATTGGTACCACACAACCAAAAATCTGCATTTGTTAGCTCCACTGATAAGACTTTTAGCACATCTTTTTACAGCTCAGTTTTACATTTTGCAAAGTATCTCTGCTTATACTACAAAGTTAATAGTTAACTGTGCACTGTTACATGTTTTCAATGAGACTCTTTCAACTCTCATAAAGCTTTGGAGCAGAAGATCCAGACTGGAAAGGTTAAAGCAGAAAAATGTATGTGTGGGGCTACTGCTTTCTATTCAGACTTGAGTATAAAAGAAGTATTTAGTTTTATTGTAAAGGACAGCCCGTCTACCTCTAATTTCAAATCCAGGGATTAATAAAGACAGGAAGGATATTCATATGGTCAGTGATTCAATCTGGTAACAATGTAAAAGTTTAATTTTAAAGCTCTGCAGGATACTGAATAGTTATAAATACTTTCATTAAGTATTTATAAAGGCAATTGCATCAAAAATGTTGAGGGAAATATAAAAGAAAATTATTATTTATTGTCCCAACAGAATCCTAATTTTACTTCTAGCTTTTACCCATCAGAATTTGTGCATTCTTTCTCGGCTATCAATTCAATAAAATGGGCTTTTTTAACTTCCTGAACTTCTTTAATCCAGAGGCCCAAAGTCCTGCATTAGCAGAATTATAACTTGATGAAGTTTAGGCCCACCTCAACTATGACAGGTCCACAAAATGCCCTGGAAATAAGTTGGTTTGGATTTTCAAGTTGTTTTTTGTTTGAATTCAAACTCTGTAAGCCTGACACAAGAATAAAAATGTAATGGGGAAAAGAAGTGCCTCTACTCTTTCAACCTTATCTAACTACTCATGTTGCTGCCCATATTCCTCTTCAGGTTCTGGCTGTATTGGGCAATATCTCAAATACCTGCCTTTTACATTTTTTCAAAAGGACATTTCTTAAGACTTTTTAGAGGGGAAGGCTAGAAAAGCTATTGCTTCCAAGATTTCACAACACCGCTTCTGATTCTCCTTCACACTTGCAGCCCCTTTAAGGAATCAGCATTTTTAACATCTCTTCAAGCAGCTGTTCTTTAGGCATAGTTTATACTGCAGGAATAAGAGGAAGCCAGGAAAGGTCTCTGCCCTCAACAGGTTGTTCATGTAATTGGTAAGAAAAATAAAATCCTATCTGCTTCTACAATCTTTTTGTTTGTATGTCTGATCTGCTTTCAAGATTTTCGGTCTTTTGAACCAGACGCTCACTTCTATTGTATGTTTGTTCAAGCTTTTATGTCTTTGTGTCAATTTACCCATTCTCAAGTGATGCTACTGTAGTCAAAATAGCAATTATTTTTGTGTTCAGTTCTTGAAAACTTTTAGCTATTTCTTTCCCTGTCTGAATTATGTTCACTTTTATATCTAACACGTACAACACTGAAAACACAGACAGATCTGAGCCAGCTCATTGCAGAGCAGAGGGATGCTGCTACTGCTCTTTCAGACATGTTCCATGTAGTTGTCACCAAAAAAAAGGGGAAAAAATCCATTTATCTGTCTTCTGCATGAATTTTACACTTTGAAGCATTTTTGCCATTGGGAGTAACAGAATCCCTAATTGAAGCAGAGCTGCTTTCCTACTCTCATGTCAGTAAACAATGCATTAGTGAAAGCACAAAAATCATGAAGTTGCCAAGCACCCTCTCGTGTGCAGCACTCCACCTTCCTGGAGAGCACATGTGCCAGGGACTGAGGCTTAAAGCAATGCTTCAGCAGAAACCTTCCACAAAACCAGAACTTGCTGAACTGCTCCCCAATGAATTTATAATCAAGTAAACCAATGACAAAACCTAACTGAAAATTACTCACAAAATATTTCACAGAACTTCAAAATCAGAGTCAAACACAGACTCCAGATGTCCTGAGGTCAGATCTCTGCCTCCTTTCCTCCTCCAGAAAATCTTTCCTCCCCTTGTTTTATCTGAGATGTGCTAGATGATCCATCTCAAGGTTAAGCAGTTCATAATGTAGGACAATGATTTGATGCATTTAAGGCATCAAATATGCAGCAAAGTAATGAAGCACCAAAATGAGTAATTATTACTGTTAATGCAGAGTAAAGGCATAATGACCAAAAATACACACACAGAAATACACATCCAGAAATCCCAGCCTAAGGGTTTTTTCTATCTGAAGAACAGATAACAGATTCCAAATTCACAAGTATATCAACCTTTTATGTAAGCTGCAAATGATATGAAAACTTGAGTTAGGAATATTTTTTAAAATTCACAAGGCAAAAGGAAAGTATAAATAGTTCTGCTGAGTGACTTCAAAAGACATTGTGCAGAAAGCTTTTAATCTTAGCCTACATTAACATAACACAGTAATCCTTATGAACGGTATCTAGAAAATATGAAAGATTCAAACTCTGCTGACAGGAGCCAGATAAAACTCGTCTGATACCAGCAGAGGTCAGGATACCATCAGGAGTGTAACCAGGAGTATCACTGGATAATTATTAAAACACACTAGACTTGCAATTTAACACTGACTCCATAAATACAGTTTCTATGCTGACACTTTGAGACAGCACAAACACAATTTTGGACAGAGAAGTGAGACACTTTGCCTCAAATAATTTAAAGCTAACTACAAAGTCACAGTGAATCAGAGCCTCCAAACACATCTACCACAGTAGCTGCAAGCTGCCTAATATTTCTACTCAGAGACTCACCCCCCCTGCTGTGTCCTTCTGATGGAAATGAAATTATACATACACTCACTATGTTATTAAATGTAATGAAACATGGCAGGAAAAGGCAACTATTTCAGGCTGTGTATGCAAAACCACACATGAACCAAGGCAAAACAAAGACACAAGTTTATTCTTTCACAGTAAGCATCTCTTACTAGCTTCAGTATGTAATTGAAGCACAAAATAATTAATTTTCAGAAGCATTGCTGCTCTTAACACTTAAAGAGCAGAGCTGCCTTGAAATAAGTCATTCCATCCTATTTCCATGTATTCTTTTGATTTGTGCAGCCAAGAGGGATAAAGTATTTGAAGTTGTAAGTTTAAGTTATCTTGAGTTTTCTGATTTGATTTGGTCTTGGAGGTAACAACAGACCTGATTCACCAAGGGGAAATAGCAACAGTAACTAGGCCCAGACAAGCAGAAATTCAGTTCCCCATTACTTTCCCACATTCCCAACACATCAGTTGTCAAATTATTTCTCCGGAACCCTCTAGCAGCAGAAGGATTTTTGGACCAGGACCTGCAGCAGCTGCCAACAGGACCTACACGTCTGAAATACACCCAGCTCAGCAACTGAGTATTACAAGGGAAGTCACCACACCGTGGTGGCAGCAGGATATTTGTCACCATTTCCCAAAGCAGCAAAGCAGCCCCTGCCCCTCAGGACAGCAGCACACACCTGGGTGTCAGTGCCACCACCTCGCTCACATCATCCACCCCCTGCACAGCTGATGGCAGCTCCTGGCACGGGACCACAGCTTTCACTCTTTTGGGGCAGAGCTGGGTGTGAGCTCTTAGTTAGCTCCATTTCCTTCACTAGGCCACATAATGGGAAAGGAACATTCACTCTCACTGAAAGGAGCAAATGTAAAAACAAGTGGGCCCCCAGGGACCTGTGGGTGAGTTAATGTGGCCTCAAGGATGACAGTTCTTAGGGGAATTAAATGTGCTTCTTTGGTAATGTAAATCACTAAAATGCTTCATCAACTCATCTCACAGTGATTTATATTTTTAAAAGCTGTAAATCTGTAAACGTTTACTTACTAGTAAAACCTGGAGGACAGTGGACTTACCTTTTCTATCACCACATCATGGACAGGAAGCTCCTCTGGACTGAAAACAAAGATAAAGTTTATATTAGTCGTGGTTGATCTCAGCACAAAATCATTTCTGTATAGCTTCTTACAAGTCAGCACTTACACCAGCAATTTGTAGTAACAAGTGAACAAGAATTCTGAACTGCAAAGAAGAACTAATATTTTAAGTACAGAACTAGGATTTTAAATCAAAGTAGCTGCATAACTTAAGAAAAACATCACATAGCTTAAGAAAACTTTTTTTTTGCCTTCTGCAAAAGCACTCTGTGGAATACTACTGAACTGAAACCCAAACGATTTTTGTTTTGTTTTCTTTGATCATACTATTATTAGCTGATTTATCAACAAAAACAAAAAGCTTCCTCCTTTACTACTGTGCTCTGAGATTTTGCTTGACTCAGGAGAGTTAACTCACACGTACTCAAAACTACAAATCTCACTCTAAGTAACAGGCAGGAGGTAGCAGAAAAAGAAATTAGTCATGTTACTAGGTACCTAATTAATACTAAAAATTAAAGCCTTTTCACTTCTTACCCTAAGCCTAAAAAGGCAGCTTAGGAATTGAAAGCTTGAAAAGCAATCTTTGACCTGATATATCTTCAGACTTCCCATTCCTTTCATTTCATTCTGAGGCCTCTGACTTAACAAAAACAGAAATTTGTTCTTTTCCTCTCAAAAGTAACTGCACCACCTTGATGCCAAGAGAGCCTGCCTTCCCCTGCAGCTTCTGAAAACACAGCAGCTCAACTGTAACAAGCAACTCCCTTCTGCTCTTGAGGTCAGATAAATAACACACCCAACAAAACCATGTTTAAAGGGGACTAAAACACAGGAAACACATGAAATACTTTTAAAAGTTCCTACTGAGTCTTGATATTATGAAAAAACCCTCATACCTACATCATTATAGCTTTCTACAGAGAAGCTATTAACCACCAGTATTTTAGACCTGTATCCACTTTGTGCAAGGGTGACCTTGGCAAAGGCTACAGAAGTTAAGGCTACAGTTAGTGTAACAAAACTCTGATGCAAAACACTTGAATTTTATTCAATCTCATTTCATTTATAAGATGCTATTTCAGATTCAGAAGTTACATTTGAATAAAGAAATACAGAATGAAGAAATACATTTGAACCACTTCATCTAATGGAAAAACTTGCTCCCATCAACACCTTCACAGACATCATACACAAGTCAAAGTTTCCAGTCCACAGTTCAGAAACTAATTTTAAACCCAAGACTGTTGCTTTTGAGCAGCATTGCAAAAAGCATCATTCATTCATTTAGAAGCACTTCACAAATATATGAAAGATTTCTTGCTGAACAACATAATCAAAAAAACTCTTGATCAATATCCAACACACTAGAAACAACCTCTAGTCAGTGTTATTTTTAAATGTTAACAAAATTATAGTATTGTGCACGCTCTTATAACTATATCAGCTGAAAGCAGGCCCGTCCTACGCCAAATATGACCTAGAAATTCAGCTTATTTGAAGTGGGAAGAAAAAGCAAAAGGGAAGAAAAAATTCAATTTAATACCATCAGCTTAGGGTGGTTGTTGCTCGGTTTGATGCACAAAGACTGCTAGGCCTTCTCACATCACTTAAATTCCAATTCTTCAGTGACAGTTGCAGGCCCTGCCTACCCCTCCATGAGCCTCCCACAGCAGCCTCATTCTTCCAGCCCTACGAGGTCACACCAGCAGCTGGCTGGGCACACAACAAACCCTTTTTCCTCCAGCACTGCCTGCAAGGCAAGGATCTGCCAGCTCCACATCCCCGCGGACTCACAGCAACCACAGCAGCTCCTCTGCTGAACTGGTACCACTTGACAGCTTCTCCTCACACTGGCATGGAAGCTGATCACATGAAAGATTAATCAAATCTTATTTTTCACAAAGGGAGAATGAGTTCTAGTGATTTAGTAAGGAATTGCCCTCTGCCAATTTTGTGAGTTACCATCAATGTACACAGAAAAGGCACGGCTGAACCTCCTGAGTAGGAAAAGGCTGCCCTCATATCCTGGGAAGCAGACACCAAATTAATCCAACAGCAAATTTATGCCCAGATCGCTCATTATTTTGTTGAGCTGCACAGCTCTGCACTGTCACACTGACATTCCACAGCAGCACATTAAGGCAGCCCCGTGTTTTTGTGTTTTTATTCCTCAAGACGCTGCTGAGCACCTGGCAAAGAGCACAGAAGCCAAATGAATTGCCCAGGGCTGCTCAGAAACTCACTGGACCTGCCGGAGTTCCTGGAGATCTCCATTAACAAAATGCCATCAACTATGCCCCTGTACTCACATATGTAAATATTAAAATCTACCCTGCAAGGACTGAAGGAAAGGCAGTGCAGGCATACAAATGCTCTCAAAGCTCCTAAAGGTACTTTAAATAAATATATTTCCATTTAGTGTGTTCTCTATGCAGAAACGTTAGAGATTTTCTTTTATTGGATAGAATCAGACACAAAATCAATTGATGTCAATGAATCTGTTATTTTATTGTACCTTCCCTTTTTTCTTTATAATGATGCATCTTCTCCTTCCTTCCCCAGCCAAGCCAATCTAATATTGTTACACCGTAATCATTTCTTTTAAAAATTAATCTTCTCTAGCCATTCCCAGTCTATTTAAACTTGCATTTCTCCATGTTTTTTATCTGCATACTTCACCAAATAATAAACAGAAATAGCGAAAAGTATTAACATAATATAGCTATATCCTGCCCTAAGATGACTGTTTTCCTTTAATAGCTGAAGTAATATTCATTTAGGGGATCCAGAGAGAACAGAACTGATTAACATAATTAGCTTGGAACCATACAATCCTAGATATCCAAAACAGGAGTCACAGGGATGCTTTTAACTGAAGTTATGAAAATAAGGTATCAGCAGAAACGGGATCTTAACACTCTGCTGTCCCCACTAAATAAAATCTGAGTAGGTAAAGTCAGCTGTTGGATGAGCCAGGAATTAGCAATGACACACCTGGTCTGTGCCTTGCCTTGAAGATAAGAGCTTCCAGCTGCAGCCACACAGGATTCCAACAGCAGCTCAGGGCTCTGCCTGGCACTGCCAAGGAGCTCTGCAGTCACAGCACTGAGAGAAAGGGCTGAAGATCTTGTCTCCAAGCTGGGAGCTGCAAACCACTGCAAGAGCAAATCCCAACTACAGTACAGTGCCTGACAGTCACCCTGCTACAAGGTTCCTCTAAGACATCTCACTGGAAGAAAGTAAATAGTGGATTCCAAGGTCTGACTGCAACTTAGGATTTCTACCCATTGGTAAAAATGGTGCTGATGCACAGCACCAGCCCAAAGCTATCCTCCCATCTTTCAGTCTGGACTACTTCCACCTTGAAGTGAGGTCTCCAAGATCAAAAGACAAGATTTCATTCATTAGACCTGATTCAAAGTGCCTTTTTTTGGTTTTATGTTTTAAGAGATGAATGGATCTTACATCTTTAAATCCACCATAGTGGCTAACACAAGTTTTCATGAATGTTTCAAGAAAACTTTTTAAGAATAATGTCAAATGCATAATGATCTGTCGCTTCAGAACATTAAATATGCAGATTTATGGTTTTGACCATTACAGCATGTGTTGTAATTAACCTCCTTGAGTAACAGTGTTAGTTGAAATAAATTGAAAATTCTAAGACTTAACAAGCTTACAGCACCCTACCCACTATTGCTGCTTAAATCAGTAATCTTTAAATAGCACATTGTGTTTGTATTGAACAAATACATCAAGGAAGGACTTTCTTATATTAGACACTCAACAGATTTATTCTTTTCCTACATTTCTATTTGAATCCCAAGTATGCTCCCTGCTGACTCAAATCACAGCATTTTCCTGTTTCTGGTTTGGCTTAAGTTTAAGAAATGTAAAGCCTTCTCATTCCTTTGCAGATTCAGTTGAGGATGGAATATATTTAGTGCAATAATCAACCTTGGTACACCAATCACCCCAGAACTCAAAATTCCAAAGGATCAATTCATTTCTTTATAGTTATAAGCTGGACAAGGCCTGACAACAAAATTTTCATTGGGGAAAAAAAAAAAAGTGGCAAAAATTGACCACAATAAGACCAGAAATACTACAAAGCTTAAGTGCCTGAAGAACGGTAATGTTCAAAATCTTTTAGTATGTTATATTTGTATTTCTCAAATTCTATTTCAGAACTGACCAGGGCGCCGTGAAGAACTTTGGGGCTTGTTATCATGAAATATTTGTGGGAATAACTGTGATACACACAAGTCATTTAATTAAAAAGTCGATTACATTCAATATTTCTATATTACTGAACCCAGTGTAATACATTTAAAAAGTTTAATCCTCACAAAGCCTGCAAAGCAGTACCTATGCAAAAGGTTTTCTCAAACTATTACTCAATTATTTTCTCATGCTGTCCTCTAAGTGCAATAGCATTACCCTGTACCACTGCACAGTTTCATTTTAAATGAAAAATCAAACTCTGGTGTCACATTTTCAATATAATCTGGGAGAAGTTTCTAGTAGAACACTGATCTTCACAATCTCATGGAGTTAATCATGAAGAAACAAATGCTGTGCATTTGGCTTGTCATTTGTGGTGCACTTTTAAATGTTTAAATCCACGAGGAAAACACACTTGCTATTAGCCAGGAGACTTATTTTGAAGGAAGTATTTTTAAATTTTTTTTTTTAATCATTTGTATCATTTTGAAACCTTTATGATCCATAAATTTGTGAGGAAACATAGACAAATACATCAGTAATGTATAAAACTCCAAACCAAAAGTGATGTCAAATGATTTTGTAAGTAATCATGCAAAGATAAAGGTATGAAAAGGGAAGGATTCACTTGACATGTGTCTGAACACAGAGAGTTTTAGTATAAATGGAGTTGTCTTGCTCTACAATATGAAACTCAGATTGCTGAAGTAACAGCTTGCACCATTACATTATCCAGACATATTAGGAAAAAGTAAATCTTCCCAAATAGGTACAGCTTTAAATTGTGTGATT